GAAGAGTGTTTTCCAGCTTGGATTCATTCTCCGTCACATTCAGGTACACTGATCAAACATAGATTAAGTCTTTTCACACCATCCCATAGTTCTTGGAGGCTTTGTTCATTTCTTTTCACTCTTTTTTTCCTCTAATCTTGCCTTCTCATTTTATTTCATTGAGCTGATCTTCAGTCTCTTATAATTCTTTCTTCTGCTTGATGGATTTGGCTATTGAAACTTGTGTATGCTTCACGAAGTTCTTGTGCTGTGTTTTTAAGCTCCATCAAGTCATTTATGTTCTTCTCTAAGCTGATTATTCTAGTTAGCATTTTGTCTAACCATTTTTCAAGTTTCTTAGTTTCTTTGCATTGGGTTAGAACATGTTCCTTTAGCTCAGATAAGTTTATTATTACCCACCTTCTAAAGCCTGCTTCTGTCAGTTCGTCAAAGTCATTCTCTGTCCAGTTTTGTTCCCATGCTGGCGAGGAGTTGTGATCCCTTGGAGGAGGAGAGTCGTTCTGGTTTTTGGTGATTTCATCCTTTTTGCATTGGTTTCTTACCATCATCATGGATTTATCTACCTTTGGTCTTTGAAGTTGGTGACTTTTGGAAGGGGTCTCTGAGTGGACGTCCTTTGTGTTAATGATGAAGCTATTTCTTTCTGTTGTTTAGTTTTCCTTCTAACAGACCCCTCTGCTGCAGGACTGCTGGACTCCAGACGCTGCTTGCCTGGGAATCACTCTCAGGGGCTGCAGAACAGTATGGGTTGCTGTGCCTGTTCCTTCTTCTGGTATCTTTGTCCCAGAAGGGTACCCGCCAGATGTCCATCAGAGCTCTCCTTTATGAGGTGACTCTTCGGATGTACGGGGGGGTGGGTCAGGGAGACACTTGAGGAGACAATCCGTCTCTTATCAGAGCTCAAATACCATTGGGCAGGGACATTTAGGTCTTCTACAGTGGAACTCACAACTCCCCCTTTTCCCAGGTGCTCTGTCCCGGGATGGTGGGGCTTTATTTATAAGTACCTGATGTGTTGCTGCCTTTTTTCAGAGATGGCCTGCCCAAAGGAGGGAGTCTAGTCACAGTCTGCCTGTAGAGGCATTGCTGAGCTGCCACAGGCTCTGCTCACCTGCTGTGTAAACTTCCTTGCAGTTTTGTTTACAAGGGAAGGGTTTGGACTGCCTCGGCGATGGCGGACTACCTCAGTAAAGTGTACTGCTTCGGTAATGGAGGACTGCCTTGGTAATGACTGACTGCTTCGATAACGACTGCCTCATTAATGGGGGGTGTCCTTCCCCCCATGGGGCTCCACCGTGCTGGGTGGAGCTCAAATTGCTGCCCTGGCTCAAGCCAGCGTATTTCAGATTGCTGGTCTTCGTAGGGTTGGACCCACTGAGCCAGTTCTTCTGGCTCCCTTCCTTCAGCCCCCTCCCTTTCAGGGGAATGGGCAACTCTGTCTCACAGGGTTTCAGGTGCCAGTTAAAACAGCTGCCCAGATTTGTGCCAGTTTTTATGCTGGAAACCTGCCGGCACTGGCTGGAACAGCTGTGCTGGAAACCCACAGCACTTGTTGACTGGCAGGAATCTCCTGGTCTGTGCCTCGCAAAAACTATGGGAGAAGCACAGTATCTGAAACTGAGTGTGGGAGTGGCTGGAAAACCCCTCAGTGGTCTCTGTTGGGTAGGAGGGAGGGGTTCTCCAGTTCGCTGCACTTTCTTGGTGAGGCAGCGCCCCACTCTGCCTCTGCTCGCTCTCTTTGGGCTGCACCCACTGTTCAGCTAGTCCCCTTAAAATGCACCTGGTACCTCAGTTGGAAATGTGGAGATCACTTGCCCTCTGCGCCACTCTTGCTGTGAACTATGCTCTGGAGCTGCTCCAATGTGGCCATCTTGGTGGCTCCCTCGACCCATCCTTACACTTTACTCACAACCCTGAGTGGTGAACTCAGCTGGTTCACAATCTTAGATTTAAAAGATGCCTTATTTTGCATCCCCCTGAGCCCTGAGTCACAAGAACTGTTTGCCTTTAAATGGGAAGACCCAGATACTAAAGCACAGTAAAAAATATTGTTGGACAGTTCTCTCTCGGGGATTTAAAACTCCCCAACATCTTTGGGGAAATTTTAGCTAAATACCTACCAGACTTCCAATTAAAGAATGGGACCCTACTGCAATATGCTGATGACATGTTAATTGCTAGCACCACACAGCAGTTGTCTGACCAAAACACTATATTGACTCTTAAGTTTCCTGGCTGAATGAGGGTACAAGGTATCCAAGAAAAAGGCTCTGATTTCTCAGCCTGCAGCAATATCTTGGGTTCGTGCTTTCCCAAAGGCAGAAGAACCTGGTCCTTGACCAGAGGGACACCCTTACCAGAGTAGACAGACCAACCACCTGGCAACAGCTGTGAGGTTTCTTAGCTATGGCTGAATTTTCCTGGATATGGATTTCTAATTTTGGACTTTTTGCTAAACCTCTATACAGTGCTTTGAGGGAAGTAGATAATGAACCCCTAGAATGGACTGGGGACTGATAGAGGACTTTCCTAGACATCAAGGGAAAACTGCTGACTGCCCCAGCACTTTGATCTCTTTGTGCTCAAGAGACAAGAATAAGCCTAGGAGTGTTAACTCAGGACCTAGGAAATATTAAAAGACCCATTGTTGTTTCTCAAAACAATTGGACATTGTCACAGAGGGATGGTCTCCTTGCCTTTGGAGAGGCAAAAGTGCCTTTTGCTGCCACTTGTGACCTTCTCCAGAAAGCAGAGAAGTTTACCTCAGGTCAGTCAACCATAGTGCACCTACCCCACTGTGTGCTCCCCTTGCTGGAACAGAAGGGAGGATACTGGCTGACCTCTGGGAGACTCTGCAAGTATCAGGCCATCCTTTGAGACAATCCAGATGTAACGATGAAGGCTGTCTCTAAATCCTGCCTTCTGCTTCCTCAAATGCCGTCTGAACCTCTGCTCAACTGTCGACAAACAATTGAACAGTTTCATTCCAGCTGGCCAGATCTGACAGACATACCCCTAGAAAGCCCACACCCAGAGATGTTCACTGACAGGAACAGCTTAATGGGCCAGGGACAATAGAAAGCTAGGCGTGTGGTGGTAACCCACTGACAGACTTTGGAAGCCAGAGCATTGCCCTCCAGAACTTGAGCATTGAAAGCGGAGCTCAGAGCCCTCCATCTAGGTAAAGGATCAGGAATGGCCATGTACACAGAATCTAGATATGCTCATGCGGCCATCTGAAAGAAAATGGGACTCCTAACCTCTGATAATTTAAAGAAAAAAGAAAAACATGCTAGAGAAACTCTAGTCCTATTAATTGTCATTTTAGTCCCAGGAAGTAACTATAATACATTGCCTTCAGCACCAGCAGACAGGTAGTTTGGTGGCAAAGGACAAAATTGCACAGATCAGGCCACGAAAAGAACAGTAAGGAAAAGGCCCTAAGATTCTATTGATTCCTTTGCTACCTAAAATAGATTGTGGCCCTGAGCTTCCCATATACTCAGATGAAGACCTAAAAAGAGCATTTGATTGGGGTTTTGACCCCAATCAAAGGACTCAGGATGGATGGATATGTACAGTGAGACAGGAATAATTCTGGCACCGGTATTCCTTAGGAATGGCATTGTTAAACATATTCATGACTCCACCCAGGGTGTAGGGATGCCACCCTCCAATGGATACAAAAATATATTGCTGGTTCACATATAAAAAGGACCATTTGGAAGGTTATGGAAAATGTCTTTTCTGTGCCCAGAACAGCCCAAAAACTAGCCCTCCCCAGTTAACACAGAGTTGAGGCCAGGGGTGAAGGAACAACAGAGGACTGGCAAATTGATTTTAGTACGAGGTCACGGGTAGTAGAAAACTTGAAATGGCTACTCTTGTTTGTGGGTACCTTCTTGGAATGGGTTGAGGCTTTTCTTAGTTGGACAGAAAGAGCTTTGGAAGCCATTAAGGCCTTAATAAAAGAAATCATTTCTTAGCTTGGAACACTGGTTTCCATCTAGAGTGACAGTGGTGCAGCCTTCATGACCCACATCTCACAGGGCATTTCTCAAGCCCTCAGTATAATTTAGAACCTACATGTAGCCTGGAGGCCACAGTCCATAGAAGCTGCAAGATTCCTGACTTCCCCAATTGTTCCTCAAGAGAGCATCAGTATTGTAAAACCTAAGATTGGTGTCTGAGATATTTTTAAGACCCTGCTTTCTGGTGCACCAGCTGGTACCACCCAGACCAGTAATCTGGTTCCCCCATTTCTGTGATCCCATCCAGGAACAGAAGACAGCAAGTAGAACCTGTTTCAACCCCCTATGATTTCGTCTCTGGCCCAACCAATCAGCACTCTCCACTCTCTAATCCCCTTCCCACCAAATTAGCCTTAAAAAACTCCAGTCGTCGAATTTTCAGAGAGACCGATTTGAATAATGACTCTCATCTCCCCTTTAGCTGACTGGGCATGCATTAAACTCTTTATTGCAATTCCCCTGTCTTGATAAATTGGCTCTATCTGGGCAGTGGGCAAGGACAGCCTCTTGGGTGGTTACAAAATTCGTAAATTTGTAAAAGAGAACTTTATTTCTTATAAAGGTTTGCATCTGGCAGGGTGACCTTTCTGACAGATTGGGAAGCATAGCCTCTGGCCAGGAGCTAGAAATAGATATTTTGAGGGAGGGGCAAAAGGAACAGGAGTCTATGCTGGACAGAGTGGCCAGCAATAGGAATCATGAATATTTACAAAAGGAGAAATATGCACATATGCAGTGGAGCTTCCTGCCCCTTCATGAGTCACACGTAGACTAGCTAGAGCCACTCCATGGTCAGTGGTCTCTTATCAGGAAGGAATGGTGGTCAGTTGTTGTGTCAAAAACACAAAAGGGAGATGCAGTATCCCTTAAACTCAGGTTTTCAAAGTTATTTTGGGGTCCGCTTGGCAAAGTAGGGGTCTATTTATTTGATTGGGGGACTCAAGATTTCATTTTTATTTTTCAAAATAGAAAAAGCAAATACTTGTAGTTGCAATCCGAAGTCAGGACAACGGAATCAAGAGGTCACAATCCTTCTTTCATGATGGCTCAGAAAGCTGGAAGACACTCAACATTGAGCCCTGGGCTCCATGCCATGGTTGCTAGGAGAAACAGCCACCATGAGTCCATCTTTCAGATCTCAAGTGAACAGGTATGCAAGTCATAGAATTAAATTCATATAGGCCGGTCGCAGTGACTCACTCCTATAATCTCAGCACTTTGGGAGGCTGAGGTGGGTGGATGACTTGAGGTCAGAGGCTTGAGACCAGCCTGGCCAACGTGGTGAAACCCTGTCTCTACTAAAAATACAAAAGCTAGCCAGGCATGGTTGTGGGTGCCGGTTATACCAGCTACTCGGGAGGCTGAGGTGGGAGAATTGCTTGAACCCGGGAGGCTGAGGTGGGAGAATTGCTTGAACCCAGGAGGCAGAGGTTGCAGTGAGCCAAGATTGTACCACTGTACTCCTGTGCCTGGGGTACAGAGTGAGACCCTGTATCAAAAAATACATTCATATGCACAACCCTAGCTACAAGGGAATCTGGGAAAGTATTTTTAGCTTTCGAGTCCTTCTAGCTAGAAAAAGTATAGAACAGATCAAGCCAGTCCACAGGTATACACCACAGTGGCTTAGCAGTTTTATTAATTTATGGTGTGTTTGTTTTCTCGCATGAGTACTTGGGTTGTTTGTGGTGGGCACAGGCAAAGAAACACTGAATAGTTCTGCTTAAGAAAGGAAATGTCAAATTGCAAAAGCTTCTCTTTGAGCCAGCCTGAACCTGTGCGATGTTTTCGTTTTGTTCCTGATTTTGACACGTCTTTGTAACCAGATCAATATGGGGGTCAGCTACTAGAACTGGCACATTGTTTCCCAATTGGCTGTAATGCTATTCACTGTCATGAGATTTTACTTCTCACAGGGCAGGAATCTTAAAAGCATGGCCCTTCAGAGTATCCTACAACAAATGTCAGCTATCCTGTCAAGACAGTGAAAGCTCTATATTCAGATTATCCAGAGATTGAACTGCACCCCAGTCACTCTTTATCCACACATTTGAGGATGTTACAGATTTGGAAGTTGTGTAGAGGTACATAAGATAGTGTATATTCCTTTGCAGCCTAAGTTATAATCTTACTTATTTCTTATGCCATTTTATAGGTGGAGGAATTAAAGCATCAGTCACACAGTAGAAAGTGACACAGTAGGGACCTGAATAAACACTGACTCTAGAGACCCTGGATACCCCAAGGAGTAATCCACGGATCAGTAGCATTTCAGCACCTGGAGCTTGTTAGAAACATAGACTCTCAGGCTCTTTCCCAGACTGTTTAAATCAGAACCTGAATCTTAACAAGATCCTCAGGTGAGGCATGTCAAACTTCGAAAAAGTCTGTTCTTAACTACTCTAACAGATTCCCTGACCACCAGTGGCTTCCTCAGTTAGGTGAGAACCCTGGAACTTCAGTTCCATCAGCAATTTGAGGACCTTGGAATCAAACAGTCCCCCAGTCTTCCTCGGGAAGAATGCATGTATATACGGTTTTTTTTGCCTTTAAATAGTCTGTCAGTCCATGCATTATTGTGACATGTGGAAGGCAGAAAGGAGTTTTCAAATTTATTCTTCCAGTGACAAACTCTGGTCTAACACACATGGTATAACTCAGGTGCAAGATGAGCTCTGTGAGCATTTCCTCTTCTGCACAGCAGTAAAAGTAATAAGCTGCAAAACTGCGGCTTCCCTTCCCACTAAAGGAAACCAAAGAAATCGATGGTGTATAAAGAACTCTGAGAAAGGGGTCAAAGGAAGAAACCTGCTTTTTTCACACTCTTCCATGTCAGGGAGAAATCATGAAAAATTAGTACTTAGCAATTTCAAGGTACTTCATTATCTAACATGTCAACTTTCTGACCCCAACCGAAGTCTGTATTATAGTCACTGTATTAAGGGCTGAGACAGAATTTAACATAGAAATAAGGTCATTCTTGTTGTTCAAAATGGTCTGTGTTGATGAGGACTTTTAAGAGTTAGGTTCACCATATTTTTTTTGTAGTTATAACACCCACTAGTAAGACATGAGTTGGTAGACACTGAAAATGAGGAGATAAAGGTTCCCGTGACAATAAAAATAAACTGCCTCCCCATCTGTGAAATGAGGAAGTAGAACTAGATTTCCATGCGTCCTTCCCATTTTAACATTTTATGGTTCTATATAATAAACAAGGGTAAGTATAAAAGTAGCTAACTTTAGTAAGCACTTCCAGGTCATCTAATTTTCTCTTTATAAGAACCACTGGGCCAGGCATGGCATGGTGGCTCACACCTGTAATCCCAGCATTTTGGGAGGCTGAGGCAGGTAGATCACCTGAGGTCAGGAGTTGGCCAGCCTGGCCAACTAACATGGTGAAACCCCGTCTCTACTAAAAATACAAAAAAATTGAGTGTGGTGGCAAGTGCCTGTAATCCTAGCTACTTGGAGGCTGAGGCAGGAGAATAGCTTGAACCCAAGAGGCGGAGGTTGTAGTAAGCCGAGATTGCACCATTACACTCCAGCCTAGGCAATAAGAGTGAAACTCCTTCTCCCTCCCCCTGACCTGCCAAAAAAATAGAAGACCTCTGAGTACTATAACTAATCTTATTTTATAGGCCAAGAAACTGGGCACAGAGATATCAGTAACCCACCCAAAGTTACATTCTAAGAGGTGAAGCTAATTCACACTCACAGTGTGGCTCCAGAGCCATGCCCTTATGCACTGCTCAGCTGCCTCCCTGCCCATGGCAAATGCACCTCTAGCATCTCAGCTCTTGTTACTGGTGCAGTGGAAGTACGACAAACAGGAACAAGGCATTCCACAGAGTGAGCATATTATTTTGATAAATATTCATGACATCCAGTAATCTCTAAAGCAGTTCTCAATCCCAGCTGCACTTTACAAGTCAGCTGGGGAGCTTTAAGCAGCGCTAAGCTAATGCCCTGGGTCTCACACTCAGATTCTCATATAGTCAGTGTGGCAGATTGTCCAGCCGTCAGGATTTTTAAAATATGTATGTATTTCTCTGGTGATTTAAATATGTAGACTGGGTTGAGAATGACTAAATCTTCGGGGAATGTGGTTGTTGTAGGGGCAAGTTTCGCCCACAAAGGATCAGGTATTGACTTTATTTTTATTTTTTTGAGACAGAGTTTTGCTCTTGTTGCCCAGGCTGGAATGCAGTGGTGCAGTCTTGGCTCACTACAACTTCTGCCTCCCTATTCAACTGATTCTCCTGCCTCAGTGTCCCAAGTAGCTGGGATTACAGACCTGTGCCACCACTCCTGGCTGATTTTTTTATGTTTAGTAGAGATGAGGTTTCACCATTAGGTCAGGGTGGTCTCGAACTCCTGACCTCAGATGATCCGCCTGCCTCGGCCTCCCAAAGTACTGGGATTACAGGTGTGAGCCACCGCACCCAGCCAGGTATTGAATTTATATGTCAACTATTGATATCTTAATTCAAGGGTTTAAATTCTGCTACCTATAAAAAGTGAATTCACTTATGCTTGTCCATACCATCTGTAGTTTTAGACTATAAGCTTCCTATAAAAGGCCAGAGCCAATGTTTATGTATATCCCCAGAGCCTAATTTAACATCCCTAAACATCTGTTTACTTCCAAATGGAAAATAATGATCAAACCACATCCCTCTCAACATTAATAGGAGCTTAACACTCACTTAAATCTTATTGGTGAACTGAAAACTTAATTGCTAGGCTTTGAGATAACAAAGGCAGCACGCTCTGACCCTGTAGTTTCTTGAGATTTTTGACAAATGTTCTAGAAGGCTGAATAGTAAGAAATTTATCTGACTTCTCCTACCATAGAACTGTTCCCATGACCCCAGCACAGGCAGCATAACTGAGAAATGGCTCAAGGGCAAGAGAAAACTGAGGCACTTATGCTTTGCTGGCTGCTACAGAAATTGCACTTGACCCCCTCACTCTGGTGTAATCCTCAGCCATTACCTGTTAGTATTTGCCCTTTGTGGTACCTGATCCACCCTTGCACTGGGCCATACCAGTTTCCTTCCTCTGGTTTTTTATAGTTCGTTTACCCTAAGTCAGGATTTGGCCATGAATCCCCTCATGATTTTCCTCCTAGATGAGGTCTATTGGTAGCACTTTCACAGACCTGGCCTCAGCTACTAGTATACAGCTCTCCCATCTTCCAACAGCTCCTTTTGGAGCTGGGAAAACCTGTTTAAGGTACAGGAGAGAAAAAGCACTTACTGGCTATTGACTGTAATCACAAACTATGGGAAGAACAGATGCCCACTAGCATGCAATAGCCACTCTTTTGAAGTCATTCTTAAGTTCATTTTCTCCATCTCTTTGACCCTTGCCTTTTCCTCAAAGTGGTTAGACCCTGTCTTTTGGTCGAGGAACTGCCTTTAATCATTACGTTATCCAAGTTGATCAAACAACTCTTCAACATTTCTGTTTTCTTAGCCCTGTGGACGTACTTAGGTGGAAGCCAACCACCAACAGCGATGCTTTCCCTCCTTGAAAACAAGTCTTTCAATCCCTGTTTGTCTTCCCAACATTGTACTACTGTGGGCTAGTGTGCTACAGAGCAGTTTCTCATTAAGATGTTTTCAGAGTAGAAGGCTTGATCTTATCCTTACTTCCCTGGTTTGGACAATTCTTTTAAAGACAGGATCTCACTGTTGCCCAGGCTAGAGTGCAGCGGCACAATCATAGCCCACTACAGCCTCAAACTCCTGGACTCAAGCAATCCTCCCACCTCAGCCTCCTGAGTGGCTGGGACTACAGGTGCACACCAGCACAACCGGCTAAGTTTTAAATTTTTTGTAGGGGTCTTGTCATGTTGCCCAAGCTGATCTCAACTTGTGTTCTCAAGGATGCTCAGCCTCCCAGAGTGCTGAGATTACAAGCATGAGCCACCATGGCTGGCAGTGTGGACAATTTTTAAAGCATTCCCCACCTATACCTATACCACATGCTAGAATATTCTCAGCCACAAGAGAAAAGCATAAGCCGTAACTATGCATGACACACTGAATTTGCAGCAACTAATTTGCAACCTTAAATAATGAAGTATCAATATTTGATTTCCTCTATGAATCCAAATAGATCCAAGGATAACCATGTAGTAAT